TGCATGTGTCAAGTCATTCTATCAGGTAATAAAAGTACCCACCTGTCTGTAGAGGCGCTCCCAGGAATCCTGTGTCATCAGACGGAATACAGAGAGGAAGGCCCAGCCAAAATGATCAAAACTTGTATAACCAAAGTCAGGATTCTGCCCAAAGTCCTTGCAGGTATAGTTTTCTGGGCACCCTTTCCTAACCACAAATTAAAGATTAAACAATATTTACTTGGAGATTTAACGGTACCTGAAAGCACCCAATAGACAACACCAGTTTTGTTCAGTTTATCTGAAAGTCCATTTCATAATTACCCAATTTCATTCTGCCAGAAGGGCTGATTTATATCAAACCATCCTAGAAAGTCATTTGCCTAATCAGAGTAAACTGGACAGAAATCTTAGTTTAGGACTAGACAAAAAGTCTCCTCTGATGTAGGATATGTGCAAACAAATACACAGAGAGGGGGAAAATGGAATTATCTTTACTTTTAAATAATTAACCAAGATGAAGAGAGGAGAGTTTATTAATATCTAATAGGTCTTTACTGATCTCTTCCTCTCTTCATTTATATCATTCTACCTTACCATTACATTCCCCGTGGTTAACAACAAAGTACATACATAAGTGGTTGCATCCTTGTACTTCATTCTTTTTCTGAGGTGAAATATCTGCCTTTTAATTTAATGACATACATGCATCCCCATCCTCCTGAAAAATCATCACCATTCCTTCAGACCAGAAATAAAACCACAGGGCATCTGGAGAAACAAATTAAGAAAATACTAAAACTGCTTTGTTCACTTACTCAGGATCTGAACTGATCTCACAGAGCAATATGTCAGAAGAGCCATTCATTCTGTGGCAGATATCTAATAAAAAATAAATCAAGGAATCATAAAATCAGAAGTTGTCAGTTTGCACAGCCTTCTGACAGGAAACCATACATTTAGTGCACTTGATAAACACCCTGATGGATCAAAGCTCTGGGAAGGATCCTTTCACAACAAAGGATGTATAGGGCTGATTCTCAGCAAATCTGTCTCTGTGACAGAGTAAAAAAAAATAGCAACTATTTACTGCACAACTCCCAATGTAACATTTTACTTCGTCTCTGGTAAAAGTAAGAATTGCTGTGAGAAGTAGGCAAAATCCCTGAAATATAGAAAAAGTGATGGAAAAATAACCATACCCCGTGCAGTACCCCTAAAATTAGGATCCCTGTACCATGCACAGGTTAAAAGGCAAATGCTTATAGAAAATTCAGCCCATCCTATCCCACAGCCTGCTAATCTTTCTCCAAATCCAAGATTCACTAATTTCACATTCACTTGTCCCAGAGACTTCCTATTAAGACTCGTGCAAACGGAAGGGTTTTCCTTCTTGGGAGAAATACATGCAACTATCACATCTCTGTGAAAAATCAAGACATACATGGGAAGATACACAGATTATGTAAAGGGAGAAAAGAATAACATTTACCTTCATCACTTGGTACATAGATCTTGGGATCCTTACATAATGAGTCATTGTACACAGTATTATTGAGGACACATTTGAATCTTAAATTGCCCATAAAAAGCTGGAGGCCTATTAGGGCAAATATACTCAGGCAAAATACAGTCAAGATCAACACGTCAGCAAGTTTCTTAACAGATTCAACAAGTGAATTTACGATGATTTTCAGACCTAGAAAAATAAGATCAAATAATAAGCAAAATGAGAAGAGGAATGCAGTGACATTCTCGTGTGACAAGACACAGCAGCTGCAAGTATGTTAAAAAGAGAGTAAATGGGTTTGTAACTTCTGAGTATTAAATGAGGTAAAACAAAGCATAGGAGTGACTAAAGCATTTTTCCTTAAATTTCTTAATCATAATTTCTTTGGTCTCTGTTTAGTACCTAACACTAATTTTGCTATCTTGCACATTCTAAATTAAGATGGTATCTTAGCAAAGTCATACAAAATTTAATAAATAGGGGCAGCTTTCTGTGCTTGATTAACACTAAACAAGTACTTCACCCTGTGCCAAAGACACATTACAATGACAAAGAGGGTGACTGTTTCCTGGGCTGTGTTAGGCAAAGCTTGGCCAGCAGGTCAAGGGAGGTGATTGTTCCTCTCTACCCAGCCCTGGTGGGGCCACAGCTGGACTACTGGCACCAGTT